AGTTCATAAAACAAGGCTCGACAAGTTCACAAAATAGAGTTCAACAAGTTCATAAAACAAAGTTCCACAAGTTCATAAAATAGTACGGATAGCTCATAAAACAGTAGCATGCTTTCCACCCCAAAACATTAAAACAGTAAAAAGGGGGCTGTGAATACTCCCCAGGGAGAGTTTGCGGTTCGAGCTTCACGGTTCGGTGTTGTACAGATCGATTTCTACTAGTGCCCTACGGAAAAAATAGTTTCTAGTGAGATACAATTCACTAAAACATTATCTAAGATCTACCTATCCAACTAGTGGTATCGCAAGGTGCCCAAAGTTTGTTCGGTTCATTATTGGTATTATCGAATTCACGGTACCTTGTGTTCAAAAATCCATAAAAGGCATGAAAATGAACTCCAAAAATTGTACAAGTTATATTCTAGTTCTAACAGGGGTTATGAGTTTCTTGAAATTTTATAGGAATTTTTGAAGGTAAATTGTTATTTGTTTGCAATTTAAGACTAAATAATAGGAAAAATTCTAAATAAATAGAAAACCGTTGCAAAAATTCCCAATTCAATTTCCACAGGTTCTTATAATGTTCCCCAAGCAGGGAAAAATATTTGTTTGTGCTCTTGAGTCCTAATACCCCGTATTGTAAATTCATGCCCTAATTAAATGAAAATTCCGAATAAAATGCCAAACTGTGCCCAAATTTTATGAAAATTTAGGGGGAATCCTTATTATATACATAAATCAGTTCCATAAGTTTTCAGATTTTTAATTCATCTGTATGTATTTATTTTGAATTTTTATCTTCTAAATCCTCATTTTTGTAGAAAAATAAGGGATTGGTTCTAGCACTTGGGGTTTTACAGATCATCCCTTGATAATATGAAATTTCATAAAAAAAATTATTTAAAAATTATTTCGAAGCTAAACAAGGGTATTCAGTCCCAACATGTTATGCAATGTAGCACTAGCAAGTGGATGAGTTTCAAATTGTAACCGAAAGTTTAAGAATTTGTGTAGGGACTTCTATGACATTTTAGTTCATGAAATTTTATGTCTTCTGTGATTGATTTGTTAAGTTTATAAAATATTTTTCTCTAGATTTATTGTGGAGTTTAAGGCCTTTGATCATGTAATGCAAAACTAGTGATCACAGAAAAAGTGTTGTTTGCACAACTATATTGTAAAAATCTTCAAAAAATCACATTGTTAATGTTTTACAGTAGGGCCAACTGAGTTCGAAATTTAACTCACGGAACTAGTCATCAGAAAAAGAATATCGTGATTTGGTCAGGAAATGAGTGAGTTATGACCTTTTAAATTTGAGTAAACAAATCTGAGAGAATGTTGAAGAGTAAAACTCATGAAAACAAAGTTCAAACTTCTATTTTACCTAATGACATCCTTTTATTTTGCTTAGATTGGGATAGAAAAATGTTATCTTAAGGATATTCTGTATAAATACTTATTTCTAACCATTTGATCTTACATGAAACCAAGTTAGATGAGATTAAACTTTTGAAAAATCGGTTTTTGGTGTTAGATAAGGCTTGCATATTCTCACCTTTGCTCTTGACTTTGGTTTGATCATGGATCAACACCATATACAGAACATGCAACATATTTTTGATGGTGATCTACAAAAATCAAGATCAAACAAAGGTTCTTTGCAAGAACATGCCTTAGAAAATGAAAATTTGAAGGAGAAAGTGAGTAGAACTTGTAAAATTTGTTATGGATCTTCAAGAGGTGTATGATAAGAACTTACCCTTTGATATGAAGCTTCAAGAACACCCAAAATAAGGCTGAAAATTCGTGGTTGAGGGGCTGATTTTTAGAGAGAGAAAGTGAGGTTTCTAGAGAGAAGGAAGAGAGAAAGTGAGATCCTGTCTCTCTGGATAGACCATCTCTCTCGTCGTCTCTTTGGGTCTATACTCCACCAAAATCGTCCACAAAACTCTAGTAATGTAAGATAACGTATGATAAACGAAATGGAAAAATATCTCCCAGAGAATATGTTTCTAAGATCTAATTTCCTCTCTCTCAAGGCCATGCAAAATCTGACCTCGAGATTTTGCATAAAGAAGCAAGATATAATGAGTGAGAGAGAGAGTGTGTGTGTGTGTGTGAGGGTTGTGTATGGCCGAATTTTTCGGGTGAAGAGAGGCTTTATAAGGCTCTTTAAAGTTGGAAATCTTTAATAATGTTGCCTCTTAACCATTTTTATAAAAATGATCTTTAGTTTTTCCATTGCAATTAGAGGGGCCATAAGAAGGCCAATTGCCCAAGCTTAGTAGTGGGAGGACCAGTTGCAGCACCCACTCCAGGGACTCTACGGATTATTGATGGCCACCAGGGAAAGGCGGATGCCCCTGTGGTGAGGAGTAGGGTTTTCAGTTGACAGCCGAGGAGGCTCACGCAACACCTGATGTGGTGATGGGTATGTATCTTCTCCTTATATCTTTATGCGTGTTTATTTCTCTGCTTATATTTGTGTGTTTTGTTTGAGGATCGTTCCTTGTGAACGATATCTGTGCCTTGATATTGTTTGATTCGGGGGCTACCCGATCTTTCGTATCTCTTGCGCTCAGCAACATGTTTGTTAGAGCTCCAGGGGAGCTGGATTGTACATTAGAGGTTGAGATTGCGGATGATCGATCTGTCCAAGTATCAAGGGTTCATCAGGATTGTGTTCTAGAGATGTTCAACGACCAATATCCGATTCATTTGGTTCTTATTCCTTTGCGCGGGAACAAGGTTATTGTAGGGATCGACTAGTTGAGTCCCAATGGGGCAGTGATCGACTATGAGCATCAGATGGTACACATTCGGAATGCAAGTGAGGGATAGTTAGTGGTACCCGGAGAGAGAGCTCAATGTGGGCCGATTCTATGTTCAGCAGCTAGGCTAGACGCTATTTACATTAGGGTTGTTTCGGGTATGTCGCGTATGTTATGGATATCCGGGAGAAGGGTAAAGCGACTATAGATGATATGCTGATTGCATGGGAGTACCCGGATGTGTTTCCAAAGGATTTTATTGGAGTGCCTACGAAGAGGCAAGTGGAGTTTCAGATTGACTTGGTTCATGGTGCGACTCTAATAGCCAAAGAACCGTATGGGTTAGCTCCTCTAGAGATGCAGGAGTTGTCTACACAGATGCAGGATCTGTTAAAAAAAAGGGGGTTCATTCAACCGAGCAGTTCGCCATAGGGAGCGTTGATCCTGTTTGTAAAGAAGAAGGATAGGTCGCATCGAATGTGTATTGACTACCGGGAGCTGAATAAACTAACGGTGAAGAACCGTTATCCACTCACGAGGATTGATGATTTGTTTGACCAGCTTCAGCGTGCATCTTGGTTTTCTATAGTTGATCTTCGTTCGGGTTATCATCAGATGAGGGTCAGAGAGAACGATGTGTAGAAAACAGCCTTCCGGACTCGTTATGGTCATTACAACTTCGTGGTGATGCCCTTTGGGCTCACCAATGCTCCAGCAGCATTCATGGACCTCATGAACCGCGTATGCATGCTGATGTTGGATCGGTTTGTGATTCTATTCATTGATGACATCCTGGTCTATTCCAAGACCCAGGAGCAGCATCAGGAGCACTTAAGGGAGGTATTTGGAGACTTTGAGGAAGGAGAGACTGTATGTGAAGTTCTCCAAGTGTGAGTTCTGGTTGCATGAGGTGCAGTTTCTGAGGCACCTTGTCAACCAGAATGGTATTCTGGTCAATCCGGCCAAGGTCGAGGTCGTGATGAGGTAGGAGGTTCCGAGGTCTCCATCTGAGATTCAGAGTTTCCTTGGGTTAGCAGGTTATTATCGGAGATTCATTCAGGACTAAGTTACAACTCGTGGAAACCACGGGTAAATGATTCATAAAGTTATACTAAATTAATAAGATATGAGTTTTGTTTAGACTTTTATATTGATTATTTAATATATATATATATATATATATATATATATATATATATATATATATATATATTCGATATAAGTTCTGTATATGTAAACATTTAATAAAATTCTGATTTATATAACATAATATATTTTGAGCAAGCGTAAAAATATGCAATCAATCATGCAAATGACATTGATATAGAAAAAAATAAATATAAAAGAAATGTAATAAAAATAAATAACATAATAAATTACAAATTAATGAAATTAAAAACTAAAAGTAACAATGTACTTTGAAAGTATATTGTTATATAAAAACATCTACATACCTATCTATTATTTTTGTTTTATTACAAATACTATAACACATATCAAGTTAACTACAAAGAGCTTTTTTTAATTGAAAAGATGTTTTTTAATGACTGTAAGAGCAATTTGTCAACATTATTTTGTATATTAACTAATTCTATGTGTAGATAATATTTTATTTATTTATTTATTATTTTAAATTTAAACATTTTAGATGCTTTTCAAAGTTGGTGTTCTCATTCGATTTTATTATTTAATTGAAATCTAGGCTAAGGGGTTATCAGATTGCTGACTTTGTATTTTTTTTTTTTATCATATTAGTACTTCATTATCTAACTTAGCATATTTATATGTAGTTTTTTTTTGTTTTATTCATTTCCAACAAATTCAAACCAAAATCAATACTGTGGAGTTTTTTTGTTTTGTTTATTTCCATCAAATTTAAACCATAATCGACGAGGGAATGTACATGCATATATAATTACCTAGTAATTATCCTGAATATATTTTTTTTTATTAATATCAATGAAATAATCACAAACTTGGCTTTTAGTCCATTAACTAAAAGTTACTTGAAAACTAAATTTATTCTAGATTCTAATTGCTTACGGCATACACGCTAATTTATCTTGTCGCATTTTTAATTGGTTATTGTGATTAATTAAATGATAAATTAAATGATACGCATTTGATTGGTTCAAAATTTTTCTAAATATTTTAAGCATTGTAGAAGGGTAATTTAGATATTTCACTAACATTCAAACATTTCTATTAAGCTATTCAGATATTTCTCTAACATTCAAACATTTCCATTAAGCTAAATATAGGTACTTCATTGACTTTTTGGGTGTAAAGCATATCAGAAGGGTATGGAATACATCCATCCTCAGGAAAATCAGAAGACCAAAGAGTAAGATTATCTCTCAAAAGTTGCATGATCAAGGTGTTGTCTTTGTATGATTCCTCACTCAAAGTTTCCAACTCAGAAATCGCCTCATCAAAAGCATGTTTAGCCAAATGGCATGCCCTGTAATTTCATCATATAAAACACTTCAATTTCATACACCATATGCAAATTTTAAATAAAGAAAAGAAAATATATGATTTTACTTTACAGGAGAACACGGAGAAATTGAGAGCCAGGCCAAGACAAATTGGGTGGGTTGAAGTGAGCTCTTTATTTGCAGACTCAGAAGCAGCCTAAAATGGAAAATTTATAACATTTCTTTGTTTTCTGATAATAATGAACAATTGACGGATATACCCCTGCTTTATCATAATCTCCTTATGTGTAATTACAATTTTTTAAAGTTTTCCTATAAAACATACATGGAACAAACTTACTGATCTAACACAACCACAAACATAAATCTGACCTGAAACTTAGCCTTATAACCCAATTTATACATAATATTCAAAGTACATTGCTTTTTTATAACTTTAAACAAAAAAGAGTTTGAAAGTATCTACACTGAAAATGGCATGTATGATAAAAAAAAATTCTGATAATTATGAAAAACACTCAAGATTACAATGGAAAATTCATATTTTTTCATTAATTTCCATTTTGCCCCTTGCACAGTTAGAATCAACACAACCATTAACATAAAGCATATGTACACATCATATATAACATTAAACAAAAAAAGAGTTTCAAAGTGCTTACAAAATATGATGTTCTATTCCATACAATATACACAACATATATATTATGTCTTAACCATGAAATAGCTTACTTCATAAAAAAAAAGATAAAAGTTGCCTACACTACCATTCGCCATGCAATCACGTTCTCCTTGGCCATGTCCATTACATCTTCCATCTTTCCTCTGGGAATCGTAATGTTAAGCATATGCTTGATGTATATTATTCCCTCATCAACTGTTGCCATTGGGTGTTATGTTACAAACAGGTGAATAAGCTTCTCAATCCTCTTGGATGGTGAGTTCATCTTGAAGTGGGGGAAATTGGTTGGAACATATATCGGCTTGTGTTTTAGATATAGTTGTTCAATCTTACGAAATTGGTGTGCCCAAACCATCATTTTGAAAGTTCCCAAAGCATCAGCGTCCATGATTGGAGTCATGGACAAACCACAATGTTCTTCAGTAGGCATATAACACCAGTAACCCATAGTATCATAACCCAAACTTTTAGAAAATCGACCATGCAATTCCATGTTAAGCAAATCAATGTTGACAAAATTAATATAGTGAACTTTTGTTTTTCCATGAGATTTACCTGGATAATCGGTAAAATATCCTCCATTAACAACTCTAATCGTGAATCTCTTATCATTTCCTTTCCGATAAACAACCGGTAAAAATTTTGGTTTTTTTGGAGATAATCAAAATAGGGTTTTGTGGAATACTTGCCACAAATATAATTTCAAGATATATACTTTGATTGTTGTGCAAATTTGAATCGATATATTATCTCCCGTGTATTCTGAAAAATTTTGATTCCCGCATTTTTAATATTAACAGATTTTTTTCGTTTATGGGTTTCAATTCCAATTGAAGTTAATGCCCTTGCAAGTTCAAAACATAATACACCTAGAAAGCATCATTGATATAAATATTATAAAAAATTACTTCAAATCAGCTATCGGTTCAAAAAACGGTAAGATAGGAATTGTTAAGAGCTCGATGCATAAAGGACATTATGGGCAATCACGAGTCTATAGCTTTCACTGAGGTATTTTTGTGTTTTCAATATGTAAGAAGAAAAATATTGCAGACTTGTAGTCTTGAAACAATCTAAATCATTAGTTTAAGAAATAATTTTGATAATCATAAGAGTTGTTTTTGTTTTATTGGTTTATTTCCTTTCTTTGTATGTGAAGAAACCTTCTTATTCTCTCAGCCTCACCCTTTATATTCATCCATGTATCATATATCTAAGTTGTCAAACTCAATTCATCACTTGTTATCTCTAATCAAAAACCAGCAAAAAATTTTGTTTTTCATTATATTTTTTTATATCTCATACGGGTTTTCACTAAATCCATAAAAAGTTGATTTTTTTTTGGAATAATTCAAGTTTGTTATTCTGATTGTTTTCTATTTTGACATTGTTAAATTGAGTTTAGCAGGCACAAATAGAAATTAACCATCATTGCAGAAAATAAGGCCACTACTATAAAATAAGTTAAATAACACTAATTTTTATTGTTCATGATGTCAAATAGTGTTTCAAGGATAAAATCCATATTAAATCGAGGTTTAAAACTAAAAACTATAAAATAATCAAAATTTTAATGCTATTTATTTATATTGAGTCAAGTAGAAAAAATTAATTTTACTTTTATGCCCTTCCAACTACAATACAACCATAAGGATTGTAAACCTGATGTGGCTAAAAAACATTAAAAAAACCGACAAAACAAAATTATATGCAGATTTAATTTCACACACGGACAAATACATAATCCTATAAAACAAAATTATATGCAATACATCTATCTGTTAGAAATAAAAAAAATGTATGCATTTTCTTCCCTTCCGATTACAACTTAGCATTTTGTATTACATACATTGGTTTTTAGAAACAGCAACCTGTAACAAAAATAATACAGCAACAATAAAGAACCAAATGTCGGTCCAACAATGTAAATACAGAAATAAATTTACTGTCAAAACATTCAAACTTTCCTTTCTTCATTAAAGTATAATGATATTTTAGAAAAGGGTCTCTTTGGTAGAAAAATGAAAAAAAAAATGAGGAAGTATAAGAAGAGGGTGGTTTGCATGGATATGATTATCTTTGAGACCTCAATTATGATTTTTCCCCTTACAGCGGGTGGTTATAATCCAGTGGCCAAGTTATTTTCAAACATATCAAATTATAATTCACTGTTAAGAGTAAAAAACGATAACAAGTAAAATAAATGGGGAAAAACTGATAAAACTTGGTTGCTATTCCTCGAAATGGTTAACATTTCATTAAAAGAGAATGAATTTTTGAAATCTGAAAGCGTATTGAAACAGGAATGAAAACTGGGTTGAAATCGATTAAGACTGTGAATGAAAAGAAAACATCTAAAAGGTAAAGAACAATGTAGTCTTGCTAACTTGATGATGAATTTTTGACCTCTGAAATCGTATTGAAACAGGAACGTAAACCGGTAAACATGTATATGTATACAAATATTTAAATTAGGAAAAGTAAACAGGAACATAATTGATTGCCTAATTTATTGGGATAAATATTCCATATTCCATATATAGATAGAGATAGAGTTAACAAATATTATCTTCCATATTTTTTGCAGATTTTTTGGTATAATTGAAATTTGAAATTGAAATTTCGTGATTCACTGATTCATACTATTTCGTTTCCTGATGTACAACATGTTTTTCGATTGCAAGGGCAAATTGGGAACTTCAGTTACAAGTTTTGAGCGGGAATAATGAAGGGGAACGCCTTATTGGAATGACACGTGGCGAGTTTAGTACTGTTTTATTAGAAGAGAAGAAATCATCAAGATAGTGGTTCCTCTGACTTGATTGACAAAGAAGACTGTCACTTTTTGTTGGGGCCTGAGCAGCAGGTAGCTTTTGAGATAGAGATTATGTGAGACGTCGATTCTGACCCTTCTGGAGGGTGTCGAGGATTTTGTGGTTTATTGTGATGCACCAATCACGATTTTGGATGTGTATTGACTACCGGGAGCTGAATAAGCTAATGGTGAAGAACCGTTATCCACTTCCGAGGATTGATGATTTGTTTGACCAGCTTCAGCGTGCATCATGGTTTTCTAAGATTGATCTTCGTTCGGGTTATCATCGGATGAGGGTCAGAGAGAGAACGATGTGTAGAAAACGGCCTTCTAGACTCATTATGGTCGTTACGAGTTCGTGGTGATGCCGTTTGGGCTCACCAATGCTCCAGCCGCGTTCGTGGACCTCATGAACCGCATATGCAGGCTGATGTTGGATCGGTTTGTGATTGTATTCATTGATGACATCCTGGCTTATTCCAAGAACCAATAGCAGCACGAGGAGCACTTCAGGGAGGTATTGGAGACTCTGAGGAAGGAGAGATTGTATGCGAAGTTCTCCAAGAGTGAGTTCTGGTTGCGTGAGGTGCAGTTTTTGAGGCACCTTGTCAACCAGAATGGTATCCTGGTCAATCCGGCCAAGGTCGAGGTCGTGATGAGATGGGAGGTTCCGAGGTCTCCATAAAAGATTCAGAGTTTCCTTGGGTTGGCAAGTTACTATCGGAGATTCATTCAGGATTTCTCCAAGATAGCGGTTCCTCTAACTCGATTGACAAAGAAGTCTGTCACTTTTCATTGAGGGCCTGAGAAGCAGGCAACTTTTGAGACCGTGAGGCAGAGATTGTGTGAGGCGCCGATTCTGACCCTTCCGTAGGGTGTCAAGGATTTTGTGGTTTATTGTGATGTGTCGATCACGGGTTTGGGTGTAGTTCTGATACATAGGGGTCGCTTGATTGCTTATGCTTCGAGGCAGCTGAAGCCTCATGAGGCGAATTATCCGATGCGTGATTCGGAGATGGGGGCTGTAGTTTTTGCCCCCAAGATTTGGCGACATTACCTCTATGGGGTCCACTATACTATTTACGTGAATCACAAGACCCTAAGGTATTTGATGGATCAGCTGAATCTGAACATGAGGCAGTGCCGGTGGTTGGATGTGGTGAAGGATTATGATTGTGAGATCATTTACCATCCGGGGAAGGCCAATGTGGTGGCCGATGCACTCAGCCGCAAGGCGGTTGCAGATCTGATAAGATATATCTGTATGAGGATGAAAGTGATTACTCCAATCTTGGAGCAGATTCGAGAGGCTAAGGCCGATGCTATGAAGGAAGAGCACCTGAAGAGTGACCACATAGTGGGTCAGGTGGCTTCCTTCTATTATGATAGTCGGGGAATATTGACTCTTCATCGGAGGGTGTGGGTTCCGTACTGGGGTGGTGCGCGACAGGTTTTGATGGAGGAGGCGCACAAATCAATATTCTTCATTCATCCCGGGGTGACGAAGATGTATAGAGATCTCTGTCTTGATTATTGGTGGCCATGTATGTAGTGGGATGTAGCTTGGCATGTAGAGAGGTGACTGACTTGCAGGAAAGTCAAGGCCGAGCATCAATGACCTCACAAAAAAATGCAGCCGTTAGACATTCCCGTTTGGAAATGGGAAGAGATTACCATGGATTTCATTACGAAGTTTCCTCAGACAACGCGCGGAGTGGATTCGATTTGGGTCATCATGGATCGATTGACCAAGAGCACACACTTTATTCCGATTCAGGAGAGTATCTCTATGGAGAAGTTGGCTAATTTATATCCAGGAGGTTATGGCAAGCCGTGGGGTTCCAGTTTCAGTGGTTTCAGACAGGGATGTCCAATTTACTTCCAGCTTTTGGAAGAGGTTTCATGAGAGTTGGGTACTCATATGCACTTCGTCACGGCTTTCCACCCACAGACTGATGGACAGAGTGAGCGGACTATCCATACCTTGCAGGATATGTTGTGGGCGTGTGCATTAGATTTTGGTGGGAGTTAGGATACATATCTCGCTTTGGCGTAGTTTTTTTTATAACAACAGTTATCACGCCAACATCGATCTACTTCCTTTTGAGATGCTCTATGGGAGGAAATGCAGGACCCCGATATGCTGGGGTGAAGTCGGTCAAGACTACCGAGTTGATTCAACAGGTTTGGAGTAGACTCTAGACATCATAGAGTCGGTATAAGACCTATACTGACAAGCGTCGATCGGACCTAGAGTTCCAGGTTGGGAATATGGTGCTCTTGAAGGTGTCTCCTTAGAAAGGTGTCATCTGATTCAGGAAGAGGGGAAAGTTGGTCCCCAGGTACATCAGACCTTTCAGGGTGTTGGTCCGAGTGGGCCGAGTTGCTTA